ACCCAGCGAGCCCAGCTTCAGGTGAGATTGGGTCTCTGGCTGGGACCACCCGCCCATCACCCATCCCCCTCCATCTTCGGGGCCGCTCCCGGCTTCCAGAAGAGCCGCCCACACAGGAAAGAGATCAGCTCCTCCAAGACCCCAACCCAGCGAGCCCAGCTTCAGGTGAGATTGGGTCTCTGGCTGGGACCACCCGCCCATCACCCATCCCCTCCATCTTCGGGGCCGCTCCCGGCTTCCAGAAGAGCCGCCCACACAGGAAAGAGATCAGCTCCTCCAAGACCCCAACCCAGCGAGCCCAGCTTCAGGTGAGATTGGGTCTCTGGCTGGGACCACCCGCCCATCACCCATCCCCTCCATCTTCGGGGCCGCTCCCGGCTTCCAGAAGAGCCGCCCACACAGGAAAGAGATCAGCTCCTCCAAGACCCCAACCCAGCGAGCCCAGCTTCAGGAAAGAGATCAGCCCCTCCAAGACCCCAACCCCAGCGAGGCCAGCTTCAGCTTCAGCTGCAGTAAAGAAGGAGACCAGTGGAGACAGAAAGCCCCCACCAGCACCCACTGGAAGAAGAGATGGGAAGAAGACAGAATAAGAGATCACTCAGCAATAGAAACACCAACACGACCCCACCAGAATCCAGGGATCCAACACCAGCAAGACCTGAAAAGCACTACATAGATGAAGAAGAGGAGACAGACCTTAAAAATTATTTCATGAAGATGATGGAGAGCCTCAAGGAAGAAACGAGGAAATCCCTTAAAGAAATAGAAGAAAAACAAACAAAAAAATCCATGAAATGGGGGGAAAAATTCAAGAAATAAACAAATCTCTCAAAGAATCCAAAGAGCACCAAGAAAAAACAACCAAGAAAATTAAGGAAACAGCTCAAACAGTTGAAGGATTGAAAGCTGAAATAGAAACGATAAAGAAAACACAGAATGAAGGGATGCTGGAAATAGAAAAGCTCGGTAAACGGTCTGGAATCACAGATGCAAGCATCACCAATAGAATACAAGAGATAGAAGAGAGAATCTCAGGTGTTGAAGACTCATTAGAGGACATAGCATCGTCAACCAAAGAAAATCTCAAAACCAACAAATCCTTAACACAAAATATCCAGGAAATATGGGACACCGTGAAGAAGCCAAACCTGAGAATAATAGGTATAGAAGAAGGTGAAGAACTTCAACTTAAAGGTACAGAAAACATATTCAACAAAATCATAGAAGAAAACTTCCCTAACCTAAAGAAAGATATGCCTATGAAAGTACAAGAATCTTACAGAACACCAAATAGGCTTGACCAGAAGAAGAAGTCACCTCGCCATATAATAATCAAAACATCAAACCTACAGAGCAAAGAGAAAATATTAAGAGCAGCTAAAGAAAAAGGCCAAGTAACATACAAAGGCAGACCTATCCGAATTACACCTGACTTCTCAATGGAAACGATGAAAGCCAGAAGATCCTGGTCAGATGTCCTACAAACGCTAAGGGAACAAGGATGCCAGCCCAGACTACTATATCCAGCAAAGCTCTCAATTACCATAGATGGAGAAAACAAAATATTCCATGACAAAGCCAGATTTAAACAATACGTATCCATGAATCCAGCTCTACAGAAAATGCTAGAAGGAAAACCTAGAGCCAAGGAAGATAACTACATTCACAAAGACACAGGCAATATAGAATCATACTTTACAAAACACTAAAAGAAAAAGGGAGGAGAAACTACACAAAATAACTTCACTAACAATAAATCAAGCGCAAGCGCAAACAAGGATCACCAATCAATGGTCATTAATATCCCTCAATGTCAATGGCCTCAACTTACCTATAAAAAGACACAGACTAGCAGAATGGATACGAAGACAGAACCCTTCCTTCTGCTGCATACAAGAAACACATCTCAACACCAAAGACAGACGTTATCTCAGAGTAAAGGGCTGGGAAAAGATCTTCCAATCAAACGGCCCCAAGAAACAAGCGGGCGTAGCAATCCTAATATCTAACAAATTAGACTTCAAATTAAAATCAATCAAAAGAGATGAAGAAGGGCACTTCATATTCATCAAAGGAAAAATACATCAAGACGAAGTCTCGATTTTAAATATCTACGCCCCAAATACAAAGGCACCTACATTCGTGAAAGAAACATTACTAAAGCTCAAAATGCACATAAAATCTCACACACTAATAGTAGGAGACTTCAACACTCCGCTCTCACCGCTAGATAGGACCTCCAGACAGAAACTTAACAAAGAAACAAAAGAATTAATAGAAGTTATGACCCAACTGGGTTTAACAGACATCTATAGAACATTCCACCCAAATACAAAGGGATATACCTTCTTCTCGGCACCACATGGAACCTTCTCTAAAATTGACCACATAATAGGAAACATAGCAAATCTCCACAGATACAAAAAAATTGGAATAACCCCCTGCATCTTATCAGACCACCATGCATTAACATTAGAATTCAACAATAACACAAATCGCAGAAACCCTACAAACTCATGGAGATTGAACAATGCACAATTGCACCATCCCTGGGTAAAGGAACAAATAAAAAAAGAAATTAAAGACTTCCTCGATTTCAATGAGAATGAAGACACAACATACACAAACTTATGGGACACTTTGAAAGCAGTGCTGAGAGGAAAGTTTATAGCACTAAGTGCCCACATGAAAAAACTGGAGAACAGTCATACTAGAGAATTAATAGCACAGCTGAATGTTCTAGAACAAAAAGAAGCAAACTCCCCAGGAGGAGCAGACGCCAGGAAATAATCAAATTGAGGGCTGAAATCAATCAAGTAGAAACCAGGAAAACATTGAGAAGAATCAATGAAACAAAGAGTTGGTTCTTTGAGAAAATCAACAAAATAGACAAACCTCTGTCCAAACTAACCAAAAGACAGAGAGAGAACATGCTAATTAACAAAATCAGGGATGAGAAAGGGGACATAACAACGGACTCTGAGGAAATCAAGAGAATCATCAGGGCATACTTTGAAAATCTGTACTCCACAAAATTTGAAAATTTAAAGGAAATGGACAATTTCCTGGATAGATATCACTTGCCAAAACTAAATCAAGAACAGATAAATAATCTAAACAGACCTATAACCCCTAATGAAATAGAAGCAGTCATCAAAAGTCTCCCAAACAAAAAAAGCCCAGGCCCAGATGGCTTCAGTGCAGAATTCTACCAGAAATTCAAAGAAGAGCTCATTCCAATACTCGTCAAAGTATTCCACACTATAGAAGCAGGAGGCTCACTGCCAAACTCTTTCTACGAGGCTACAATTACCTTGATACCCAAGCCACACAAAGACACAACTAAGAAAGAGAACTATAGACCAATTTCCCTCATGAACATTGATGCAAAAATACTCAATAAAATACTTGCAAACCGGATTCAAGAACACATCAGAAAAATCATCCACCATGATCAAGTAGGCTTCATTCCAGGAATGCAGGGATGGTTCAACATTAGAAAATCTATCAATGTAATCCACCATATTAACAATCTGCGAAAGAAAAACCACATGATCATCTCACTAGATGCTGAAAAAGCCTTTGACAAAATCCAGCACCCCTTCATGATAAAGGTCCTAGAGAGATCAGGGATAACAGGAACGTACCTGAATATAATAAAAGCAATATACAGTAAACCAACAGCTAACATCAAACTAAATGGAGAGAAACTCAAAGCAATTCCTCTAAAATCAGGAACAAGACAAGGCTGTCCACTCTCTCCATATCTCTTCAATATTGTACTTGAAGTTCTAGCTACAGCAATAAGACAACAAAAGGAGATAAAGGGGATACAAATAGGAAAAGAAGAAGTCAAACTTTCATTATTTGCAGATGATATGATAGTTTACATAAGTGACCCAAAAAACTCCGCAAGGTTACTCCTAGAGCTGATAAACAGCTTCAGCAAAGTGGCAGGATACAAGGTAAACTCAAAAAATCAGTGGCCCTATTATATACAGATGATGAAGTGACTGAGAAAGAAATCAGAGAAACATCACCTTTTACAATAGCCAAAAACAGCATCAAATATCTGGGGATAATGTTAACCAAGGAAGTGAAAGACCTGTATATCAAAAACTTTGTGTCTTTGAAGAAAGAAATCAAAGAAGATACCAGAAAATGGAAAGATCTCCCATGCTCTTGGATTGGTAGGATCAACATAATAAAAATGGCAATCTTGCCAAAAGCAGTCTATAGATTCAATGCAATCCCTATCAAAATTCCATCACAATTCTTCAAGGACCTGGAAAGATCATTAATCAACTTTATATGGAAAAACAAAAGGCCCAGGATAGCCAAAACATCCCTATACAATAAAGGAACTTCAGGAGGCATCACCATACCTGATTTCAAGCTCTATTATAGA